TGCCTATGTCAGGATGTGGAAAAGAGACCCAGATAATACTTGGTCTGGTGGAATTTTCAACTCTGTAGTCCATGTTTTCTATGACACACTCTGCACCATTGGTGAGCCCGTCAGTCACATCAATATTAGTTGTCAAGTCATATTTTGCTGCAGTCGCTACAGACACTAGCGAATATAAACCCATTGTCTGTGTTGGATCATCTGGGATTTTGTTTTTCATTTGTTTCTTGAGATCATCAGAAATGTCCCCAACTATAACGTCCACAGCCTTAATCTGAGCTTTATCAGCTTTAGAGAGGGTATACAGAGCATTGTTGTGAGCATCTACTGATGCATTTGTGGTATATAAATGTCCCATGTTCATAGGATAATTATCTTGTTCAGGCCTTACATTCAGAAGTCGTTGTTGCAAAATGGATATATCACCTTCAGACTGATTTCCCTCTCTCAAACGATTGAGTAGCTGAGCAAATTCTTTGTCATCTTTTTGTCTCATTATTTCTGTCAATTCGAAAAGGGTGAAGTACTCTGTCCAAATGTTAGTTGCAAATTCATCATAGCCAGATTGGGAATTTTCAAAGATCCACTTATCAAAAACTGGCTTAAGCTGGAAAAGATCTCCAACAGTTACCAAGCTTATTCCAACGAATGGTTCATTAGTTCCCATAATTTGTTGCAACCTTAAGTTCAAAAAGTTGAACATGCCACTTCCAACCATAGAAATCTCATCGATAAAATATATAGCTACATATGAAATGCCTGCAGTTCTTTCACTCTGACCAATGTCAATCCATGCTTTTGGCAGTGTTAATCCTTGACTCTTGTGTATTGTTATTGCCCAAGCAAGTTTTAGAGGCAATTGTTGCCTTTCATGAATACCATCTACTGTTTGTGAAGTTACTGTTATTGGGCATATAGGAACACATCCTGGAATGCTATCACTGATAGATGGACCACTATAGTCATCAAATTTTACAATAACAACTGTAGGCAATATATAGTGAATTACACAGTTGAAAGCATTAGCCACAGCTTGAATAATAATATTATCGCACCATGTACCTGGCTTTGCCATTTGTTCAATATAATTTGTCCAGTGATCATTACCAATACTCTCAAGATAAAATTCTGGATAGTTGTATAAATGATCTATTCCAGTTGTACGAATGTCATAATGCAAATCTGCAAATCCGTAGAGCTGATGTGAAACTGACTTAAAAAAGCAATCACCAGACCCACCAACATCTTTTGGTATTAACCCTATGAGAGCAAGCCTCTCAGTCAAACAATTCCAGGATGAATCATGGTTCATAATAATTATTGTATTAGGAAACACACTGCCCCTCAAACTGGAATAATTTTTAGAAACAAAAGCATAGCCATTAGCCATAGGATCATAGGAATTCTGT